GTGGGGTGCAATACCATTTTCAATTGCAAAAATAAATCTCTTTTGCAAAGGTACCATTTTTTTTCCAAAGGTACCATGTTATTGAACTAAAGGTACCACTTTTTGGCGTCAAGGTACCACGTTTTCTCTAAACACTTATTCATGGCGCTAATGGAGCTATTTGTGGATGTAATGTGCAAGAAAATTAGCGGTGTGGGGTGCAATACCATTTTCAATTGCAAAAATAAATCTCTTTTGCAAAGGTACCACTTTTTTTCCAAAGGTACCATGTTATTGAACTAAAGGTACCACTTTTTGGCGTCAAGGTACCACGTTTTCTCTAAACACTTATTCATGGCGCTAATGGAGCTATTTGTGGATGTAATGTGCAAGAAAATTAGCGGTGTGGGGTGCAATACCATTTTCAATTGCAAAAATAATTCTCTTTTGCAAAGGTACCACTTTTTTTCCAAAGGTACCATGTTATTGAACTAAAGGTACCACTTTTTGGCGTCAAGGTACCACGTTTTCTCTAAACACTTATTCATGGCGCTAATGGAGCTATTTGTGGATGTAATGTGCAAGAAAATTAGCGGTGTGGGGTGCAATACCATTTTCAATTGCAAAAATAAATCTCTTTTGCAAAGGTACCACTTTTTTTCCAAAGGTACCATGTTATTGAACTAAAGGTACCACTTTTTGGCGTCAAGGTACCACGTTTTCTCTAAACACTTATTCATGGCGCTAATGGAGCTATTTCTGGATGTAATGTGCAAGAAAATTAGCGGTGTGGGGTGCAATACCATTTTCAATTGCAAAAATAAATCTCTTTTGCAAAGGTACCACTTTTTTTCCAAAGGTACCATGTTATTGAACTAAAGGTACCACTTTTTGGCGTCAAGGTACCACGTTTTCTCTAAACACTTATTCATGGCGCTAATGGAGCTATTTGTGGATGTAATGTGCAAGAAAATTAGCGGTGTGGGGTGCAATACCATTTTCAATTGCAAAAATAAATCTCTTTTGCAAAGGTACCACTTTTTTTCCAAAGGTACCATATTATTGAACTAAAGGTACCACTTTTTGGCGTCAAGGTACCATGTTTTCTCTAAACACTTATTCATGGTGCTAATGGAGCTATTTGTGGATGTAATGTGCAACTTAATTAGCGATGCGGGGTGTAATACCATTTTCAATTGCAAAAATAGGTACATTTTGTAAAGGTACTACTTTTTTCCCAAATGGACCACGTTTTTTGAACTGAAGGTACTTCTTTTTGGCGTCAAGGTACCACGTTTTCTCTAAACACTTATTTATGGATGTAATGTGCAACGTAATTAGCGGTGTGGGGTATAAAACCACGTTTTCAACTGCAAAAATAAATTCCTTTTGCGAAGGTACCTCTTTTTTCCAAAGGTACCACGTTTTTGAACTGAAGGTACTCATTTTTGGCGTCAAGGTACCACGTTTTCTCTAAACACTTATTCATGGCGCTAATGGAGCTGTTTGTGGATGTAATGTGCAACTTAATTAGCGATGTGGGGTGTAATACCATATTCAATTGCAAAAATAGGTACCTTTTGTAAAGGTACAATATTTTTCCCAAAGGGACCACGTTTTTTGAACTGAAGGTACTTCTTTTTGGCGTCAAGGTACCACGTTTTCTCTAAGGAAGATCCAAACCAATTTTTCATTCATTAAACTATCCATTTATCGACACCATGGAACCAAGGAAGATCCAAACCAATTTTTCATTCATTATAAACTGCTTCAGTTTTAAACTCCATCAAATTTGAAATTAGTACATTAATATAGTAGTGAAAGAAATTTCATTGAGACCCTAATATAACAAGCCATACAATACTAATTCCTGAGAACCCAAAAGAGCAACTTCATTTGATTTCATGTAAGGTAGATGCCAATATAATAAGCCATACAATAGTTGCAAAAATATACCAACCTAATCCACAATCAAAAGTTGCAAAGCTACTATTCTTTAAAACTTTAAAAATAGCTAACACCAACAGAGTGCAAAATACATGCAAAAAAAATGACACTATTCAACAATACAAATGTCCCATATCCCACATCATTTCAGGTACCACTTTTTAGAAAATTCAACGATCGTCCTATCCCACTTCCTCTAGCTTCCAACTGGGCAAATACTGGTATGTGAGGTTCCTTGAGGTAAATGGTACCTTGTTAGCTGATGGAGGTGATGTTAGAATCATAAAAATAAAAAAAAAATAAAAAAAAAATACTAACCACAAGTAAGCTGATGGAAGCTTACTTGAAATCAACATGCTTGACCAAATGGATAAAGTGCTTTGTTCTTTACAAAATCCTTCATTTTGTTATTGTCATCTGAAAGCAAATTTGAAGCAATAATTGCACGTAATCTATCAACATCCACCTGCAAATTAAACCAGGTAAAGACAAATCATGAATATAGGATAGGGAAATGGACTTCATGCGTGAATACATATAAGTGTAAATAGATAGGAATCTAGTGTTGCAGAAACTATATATTTGATAAAGAAAACTTTTTCAACAATGTTGAATTTGGCATATGCACAAAATCTCGGTGATACTAAACTTTTATATGTGAAATATTGCATAAACAGGTAGCTTCATCCTTGGGAAATATGTTAGCAATTTGGTCAGATCAGCACAGAGACAGAACATAAACAAAACCAAAACAAATCTAATAATACGAAAGATCTCGCTGTCCCAAAATAGTTATCCCTTTTTTCTGATTCCAAACACTCAATGGCACACACCTTTTTTCTGACATTCCAAAAGTAATCTTAAAGTGACTATTTATTTTGAAATTTTTTAATCATTCATTTCAATATGTCGTAGTTTCAGTATCTTTTGTGTTCGGTTCATTTTTAATGAGCACCACTAAGTACAGTGAAGTGACCATATTAACTGCAATATGTTCATTTAAAATGACAGGAGTCCAGTATTTGCGTATCTAATTGGTTAGGTGATGTAGGAAAAACAAGGTTGACTGATGATTTAAGCTACTGATCTCATACTGAATTCTTTGACAATGAAAAACTGTCTGAAAATATTTAAGAATATGCTATTCATTTAAACCTCATCTAGCAAAGCTGGTTTCTACTCGATAGGACCCATTATACAGTGGATGTCAAAAATTTTCTATATCATTCATTACATGGGAGTACTGTTGCTTACTTCATGTTAGATTAAAACTCACTAGAGCTGGATGCTTTCTCTTTCAAAAAAATGGCACACATTAAGGGTATACTGCATTAGGGGGTTCTAAGGTTGAAAATTTTGTTGCCTAAAGGGGTTGCTTACCGCTCTCTTTGTTTCAACACGTGCCATAGTCCCCTGGTCTTCCCGCTATTGACACTACGACATTGCAGCCTAGCGGGGAGAGATCGGAAAGCGAAGTACTTGCACACAAACATGGGTTTAAAAGATGCAAAAAGAAAAAAGAAAGGTATAAGCTGGAAAACGTGTAAAAACAGAATGGGGAGTGCAGTGAAGAGGAAGGAAAACGTTATAGTGGATGCATTTTGTGGTTGCATTAATTTTTTAAATTATGTTTGCATGTATTGGAATTGAAGACCCTCCAGTTTCAACCCTTGAACAAAAGTATGTAGGAATGTGGATCAGTTTTACAAATATATTTTTTGAAACCTTTAAAGGCAAGACCCATTTCTTCCTTTGAAGACTAATGACCAGTGGGTGCTTAGATTAATAATGCACCAATGGTTTAGAAGAAAACAGAGAATTAAATGATTAACGAAGAGTATCGAGGAGATTGTGTGATTTAGTAATTCGGTATTTTCTTCATTTGGGGAAAAAAATAAATAAGACCCATGTAAAAAATAGAATTGGGCTTCACCTTCTCTTTTGGGTGACTGAGTGAACCATCCCATTTCTCCATGAAGTCCAACATGAAAGCACCACAACTATCACTGAATAAAAGACTGTTTAGGTATCTGTTAATTATAATTGTGAACATAATCAGTACACCAAACTAGGAACATTAAGTGATAAAATTACCTATCGGGCTGTTGATGTACGTTGGGCACATTGTATATGAAGTTTTGTAGATCTCTTCCGGTGAATACCTCAACCAACATTACCTACAAATGCACAATATATAAATGATTAGACTAAAAAATTCAGTACCACGTTCTTCAACTTGTATACTTTACCGTCCTAATTTAACAGTAAATGAATACATAATCAAAAAAATGAGCTCATATGTAATAAGCGTTTACCAAATCTTTTGACATCTTGTCTGGAGTACGCTTATCATGCGAACAATGTTTGTTTGAATCCAACACATCCATACGACTATCGCAAATGTTAAAGACATACAAGCACCAATGTTTCTCATTTACAAGTATTGGAAAGAAAAGCTGCATATTTAACAATGTAAAAATTTAATTACTTTTAGAATCATATTTTTTTGATAAAAGTATAATAATTATTTATGTTTGCAAGCGATAAATATTACCATATTGAATTGGCAAACTTTGTTATCATCGACATTCCTTATCCTTTTATAGTTGTTCCAAACTGCTTGTATTTTACCTTTCCTATCAACCACTTTTGAAGGTATCTTGGAAAGTTCAATCTGAAAATGCACACAATTGATAACCTAATATGTGTCAAACAAACATTCACTATAGATAGAAGAATTTGTTACCCCAATCGAAGGCGGAAAGAAAAATTTGGTTCCTCTACGCTTTTGTTTCAGCTGGAGCATTTGGCAATAGACTTCAACCACCTACAATGATCACATTTAAACCATTAATGCATGCGTGTGATTGGTTTGAAAAATCAATGAACTTTAAGTGAACATACCATATTTGATATCCAATGATTGTAAGAGATTGTTCTCATCTCTTTTCTTGTGAGGAAAATATCATTTATGTTCACCAGCATTTCACTATAATTAAACAATAACATATTAAGTGTTTGAGCATAGAAAGTAAGTAAATATAGAGCAAATAAGAAATTATTTATATAATTTCTCACTCATCATTTCTGCTCTCATCCATGGCATATGAGATGACTGCCTTTGCTTCTGGACGAAGGACACGCAATCGGTTGACCTTCATTTCAACCCAAGGTGATCCCTTATGGCGCCCAGGCTTTATAACACGTAATAAAGGGATCACTGCTTCCTGCACATCACGCTCCTCTTCCATTGCTGTGGAGGTTCCCACTTCCTCCTCCATTGGTGCGGGGATTTCTCCTTCCTCCTCCATGGGATCGTGTTTTGTAAAAGATTGCCAGGGTGAGTTTGCTTGTCTTGTGGAGGTTTCGAATTCCTCCTCCACTGGTATGTGGGATTCATCTTCCTCCTCAATCGGATTGTGTTGTGCAAACAATTGCGAAGATGGGTTGGGTTGTCGTGTGGATGAACTGGGTTCTGAGGATCTCGACCCCCTGCCTTGGCCTACATTGTGCCGTTGCTTCCATTTCTTAACAACTTTAATAATTTCATATGCCAACTCCTAACAATTTTAAACAAGTTTAATAAATATATATATCAGTTAATATATAAATGTAACCGTAGAGTTCCAAGTAATTATGAATATGCAAATATAACCGTATATTTAGTACCAATTATAAAAAGCCATAATTGACGTGATTACCTTATCGGCATCTTCAGATGTATCAGTTGTAAACTTTACCTCACCGAAGCCGAAACCATTATATTTATGCTTCTCCAAATTCAACCTCTCGCCTATTAATTTGTTGGTCCATCCACGTACGCATGACATCTCAGGCTTCGGTTTTGGTCCATTGACATCCACACGGTGTAGGTAGAAAAGCTACAACATATAAGCCATTATGATAATGACATTATAGCTATTTAAAATAAAATGATAGACACATTACAAATATTATATCTTAGAATATACCATGAGAAAGAACAAGCATCCATGTATGTATGTACAACCTTCTCTTCCTTCCTTTCCTTTATAGGACGCAATTCCTTTTTTCAACCAATCTAAAACAAACTTCCCCCAATTATACGATTTAATAGCATCCACATTGTCAACCGCTGCCAATAACCTTTTGCTTGTCTCATTTTTCGATATGGGTGCTAGAAGTGATCCGCAAGCGAAAAGGACAAAAGCCCTCTTGAAGTCATCCCCAACAGGAAGAACGTCTAATTGATGCACTAAGTTTGGCACTTCTATTACACCGTCCTTTAAAAAAATGCCATTTTCTAACCAATGCACACTTTGTACAATATAATTTGGCACATCTTCTCCTCTTCCCGAGGGTAGGCCAAGTACCTCTTCAACGTCACTTGGCGTAACATGGATCCGAGCGCCAGATTCAAGGGTGAGATGAGATGTTCTAGGGTCAAAGTGTTCTACCAACCATAAGCACAGGTTGCGCTTCAAAATGGTACACTCGATGTCTAAAAGGGACCCAAACCCAATCTCTTGTACGGCAACCTTTTTGTCTTCACTTAAATTGCAAACCGTTTCCTTGAATTTATTTGGAGAACACCGGGTATTCAACATCTACAAATAAATTACCAACACAGGCACATTAGATACAAAAAGGAAGGATAGAGCACATATATGGACATAACAGTCCAACTTAAATTTACCAATTTGCACTTCTACACATTACATGTTGAAAAGATTCAATCTCAAATCTGCTAGCTTACAAAGGCACTTGGGAGTACTCATATATTCCTAATTCATTAATTCAATACACATTCTTCGGAATTAATCCAACTAAGCACGTTAATGATAGGTAAAACACACAAAAATAAGCATATATAAAGCATCACTTAACCCAATCGAATAGATAAAAGGAAAAAAAAAAAAACACTTACAGTTTTTATTTTTATTTCTTTTATTGAAATTGTTGAAAAGTTCTTTTCCTTGGATGTTAATGGTTGTATGGTTTACCTAATAAGGGAAGGAGGAAGGATCCAATGTCCTCATACCATTTGTTATAGGAATGAAGGTTCTACCTCGTATTTTTAATTAGAGAATAACTCTAGGGGGTTTCGATTACCATTGGAAATGCTCAGCTCAGAGGATAAGTAATGGACCTTTTTGTTGATGATCTTATGTTAATCGCAGCTGGGATGTTGAATCTGTTAAAATACTGACAGAATCAATAGCTCAATTTAGTTTTAACTTCTATTTCTAGCTTGATTCCAAATAATGCAAAGAGGTGTCATATTCTGATCTGGTATAGAGACTGCTACTCAAAACCTAATTCTCAGAAAGCTTAATTTCTCTATTAGGACCCTCCCAATTAGATATTTGGGAGTTTTATTATTGTCTAATAGACTGAATAAGCAGCACTGTGATCCTTTAATTGAGGAGTTTTGGACTACCAACTACTCATTTTGTGCTGAAAGGTTACAACTTATAAAGTCTATGCCATTCTCAGTGCAAGTTTATGTGGCTTCCCCCTTTGAATCTAGGACATTCAAAATTCAAACACACAATCAATTACCAATTAAGCACCCAAATTGGCCCACAAATATTAATAACATCAGTTTCTCGAGTCAAATAAATAAGTTAAGAATTATCCTTTTTCAAATAAAGTTTTATGACAACACCATGATAATGATGATTTTTATTTTTGGGAAGCACTGGAAGTGTTTTTGTTGCTTCTACAACTGAATAACTACACAAATCTTTCAACCTTCAAACACAAAAACACACACACAAAAGAAAATAAAAAAATAAAAAAATGAAAATTTTGTTGTTTATATATTAATAAATTTTGTTACTTTATATTGTACTTTGTTTCATATACAATTGGGTGCCTGTCTTAATTGACAGATTTATGCTTCATGCGGTTAACATCCAATTTATTATTAGCATGAAAAAAACTGGAATAAAAAATATATATATATATATATATATATTTAAATAATTAAAGATATGACTTACCAGTATGAAGTGATGAAAGCACTCTAAAATATGGTAAGACCGTAGGGTGCTGCAATTGTAAAAATTATAATCCACAATAAGGGCCTTCAGCTTGTTCAAGACTAAAGTTCAACCCAAATTTACCAATTAGTCTTTCAAATCCTGCAAAGGGAGATCCTGTTTCAGTCATTATCTTCACAAATATTTATATCTAAAATTCATAAATAAAAAAAAAAAGTATATAAAAAAGATCATAAAAATTTTCACCAAATAGGATTTAGTTTGCAAAACAAGAATTACAGTTACAAATCTCAGAACAAGATAACCATAAACACGAGAAGCTAGAATGAACACGAACAGTCATCTTAAGACATATACACCAACTTATTAACTATTAATAGAAAATCGAACATGACACAGATATTCAAATTTATAAGTCCAGTCTTCATTTAAGCTGAGTCTTATGCAGTAGTTATGCTACAAAATAGGAACCACATGCTTTAGCTTTTATGTTACTATAATTGTAAATTAAGGAAGGCTATTCTAAGTGTAAAGAAATAAGAAAGTGTGCATCAGAAACAAAGAAATAAAGAAAGAATTAATGAAAGAAAATAGAGTTAGCATGCTTAGGAATGCAAGGCTCTCTTCAAACTGGCAACTGTATGCTAAACTAAAAACTACTTCAACCCTTGTTTTCTTTAGATATACTCTTGTTGAAACTCAGAATTTGTAATTTGGTGGTTTGACAAATCTCACACATACATGTTACTTTCAGAAAAATATGTGTACATGAGTCCAGTTAACTGATGGGAGATATTCTGATGACGTTTTCTTGAGTCTCCGTTCAAGTTTCAAGCTTAAATAATTTATCCTATAATGAATTTATAAATAAGGTCACATCAAATCCAACTTCTAGTGGAGTTATTTTTTTGTCTTTCTTAAAGGGCAATAAGAAAATTGAAGACCCAATCAGGGTCATCTCTCCTTTCTGCATTTCGATCAGCAAAAGGAGAAAAGGTTTTGGAAGTGGAAGGGACAATCACCAGCCAGCCGGTTCTTCAAGACGTGGGAATTTCTACATGGCCTAGTATATTTTTGTGATAGTTCAACTCTTTAGTATTCAAAATGCTACTTTATATATATATATATATATATATATATATATATATATATATATATATATTGATAAAAAAAAGGGGTCAGGTGACATGGTGAAAGCTTAAACTGGCCACTATAATGAGACATATTTAAGTATGAGATCAGCCATTTCGTAGGCTGTAAACAAGCTGAGTCAAGCCAACTTTATAGAGCTTATGCTCAGCTTGGCTGGTTAGAAGCAGTGTCTGAGCTTAGTTTGAGCTTGGTTAATTTTTAAACAGTTGTGATCAAACTTGACTCACTCAAATAAACCAATTACTCAGCTCGGTTCGCATAAATGAATTGAGTTCTTAAGAAGTTCTGGAGGATGGGAAATTTGGAGCCTTGTTATCATAATTGTTAGTCAAAATAAAATACGCGCGTCATGCTTTGCAACTTCTCACTGTTGGAGCAAAAGATTGAGAAAATGTGTCTGTGTGACTGTAGATTCTTAGTTTTAATTGTTGATTAAATTTGGACCATTGACTTCTTTTTCTGTAAACAAATGAATATCAAATCTAAAAGATAGGTGAAACGCATGAAAAACTTAAATTAACAGGATAATCTGCCAAGGAATGCTCTACGATGTCTCTAAATGCTAGTTCAAAGTTTCAAATTATGTATCCACATAAGGTATAAAGGAAAAAACAATCATGAGACTTGCTACATCAACAATATTCAAACATATATACAATAATAACAACGAAATAGTAAAAAAAGGTTCAATAATTGCTGTACTACTTTCACAAGTGATTGAAATTTGCAATAAACTGTACATTATGCATAAAAAGGCTTCCTAATAACTATTGGAAAATCTGAAAATTTGGATACAAGTCCATTCAACCAATCTTTTCCTAAGTCCTTATACTTTATCCTATGTTTGGTTGCCAAGAAATTGGGAAAACAAGAAGAAATTAGGAAACATGGAATCTTGTAACAATTCTACTCCTTTATAGAAACTTGTTAATCTTAAAGTTTTTCTTCTTTCCTTATTTTCTCTGCTACCAAATAATGGACAGTTCAAAATTGTTGTGTTCTAGCCTAATTTAACCTACATCTTAACTTAAAAAGTCCAAGCAATGACTTAAACTTTTATAAAAGATTGGGATGATCAATACCAAAGTCCATGCCTTCTACCAAACAAATTTAATGACATAGCTAGCCCTTTGTCCTACATTGTTAATTCTCAACATACACAAAGAAACATCATCCACATATGCTACAAAATGAAATTTTGCATAGACACCATTATTAGTAAGACAAATCCAACAAAATGAGATTAATTAATCAACAATAATCTACTTATCCTAAATTATTTTTCAGTCAACTTGTTCATTCTATAGAGAAAAGAGTATCACCCAGTGGCCTAATTGATAGAGTGGCCAGCTTCCTGTGTTCGAGTCCTTTCTCCTTCTAGTTTGCCAAGGAAAAAAAAATAGAGAGAAAATACTATTTTCATGGCTGGGAATAACATGCACTTCTACTGTTACGTTATTAGAAATAATTGTACTTTAGCTTGATGGAATGTCTGGAACAAAATTTTAGCAACTTGAGGTATAAAATCTACAAAAGAAGTACATTATTCGCTTGGAATTCAACATTTTAATAGAAAGAAATCTTTAGTATGCATATGTTTCTGGTAAGGGGAGAAAATTGTGACATTTCAGTAATCAAATAGGCATAATATGGAATCTAATCCCTAATAATTGAGAAGTAAAGTCATAAGATTAAAGATGCAAAACTAAGACAAAGATGAAATAATTAACACATTTATTGTATAAGATAACTGCAATTGTTGGTAGAATATATCAACTACTTATTCCTATATAAGAGATTATACCTAGTTGATACTTCCATAATCATTATATTCACCTTCTCACCAAAATTAAAGCACGTATGTAAAAAGCATGCTATTAACCACCATTAAACTTAACTAGAAAACTTAAAAATAATATTTTTGGAGTAATTATCTAAAAAAACAAAAGTGACTAAACAAGATTCTTGAAATTGTACCAAATAATTGAAGAAATATAATGTTAGTATCATTATTGGAGGTAGTGCATATTATGTCCCAGGAGGTAGTTAGTAGCCAATACATATATACTCCATATCTTGTAGCAAATATTTTGTAGCCGTAGTTCCTTATTTTGTAGCAGATTAAGGTACTACTTCTTTCCGATATTCCCTATGGCAACCACTTAGTTATCGCGTATGTGTCTAACTTCTGGCTATAAAATAGCACTTTTAACTACACAGTCAGACATAGCATAGGTACGTAGTCTCTTCTATACATACCAATATTGAAGAGCTTTTTCCTTACATAACTACTACTATATTAGGAACTACTTGACTGCCTTACCCATTATACATGGATTTGTGCTATATGGTAGATTGAGTTTATAAATTTGTATATAACCTCTCATCACATGGTACTAGTCACAGTTGTGAAGTCCTTGAAGAGAGTTCAGGCTTATGGGTTTTTGGTGAAGTAGCTCTGATTGTCTTTTTGGGTTAATATAATTTATAGTGATTTCGATTATATTCTTAAGAGGATTATAGAACCTAACCTTCTAAAGTTCACAAGAACAGGAATGACATCAGTTTAAAAAATCTTAATAACAACTTCCACTTTATCTTCACTAGCTGAGAACTTATCCTGTCATTATCTACAAAAAATTGAAGTCAGTGAAGGTTTCCTGTCTCGAAACAACAGAAATTTGAGATTTACCACAACTTTATGAAATTCTGCATGATTAGTTGCAAGTGTTTCCCAATGAGAACTCATTAACATCACAGTTATTTTTCCCTTAACTTTTGGATTTGACTTATTTACTTCCTTGCATAATATATAACCAATAATTGTATTGCCATCACACCTACCATGAACAGAGGAGTTATCAATAGTAATCATAGTCATATTTACAATGAGACTACAAAGAAATTACCAGTATTACTGGTATGCAGTTATTTTGAAAAATCCTCTAATATTTTTTTATCTTTTTTTTTTAAAGTAAAAAAAATCCTCTAATCTTATCTTTGGAGAAACAAGAAAGTTTAGTTCCACTTTTTATTGCAAATTAGTATGCACCCAATTAGAGCAGTAGCACAACCAAAACCAAAAAGGATAAAACTGAATCATTCTTCTATTAAAAAAATAAATAAATAAAAGAAAATAAAAAAAAACCAGCAACTTCATAAGACAGAAAAACACAGCTTACAGCATATGAATCCTCAAATCTAGTGAATATGTAAACAACACATGAATTGAAATCATGTCAGCAGAAAGTAACAACAACTTAATTGATTAAAATTTTCAACACATAGTATCATTTACAGAGAGACTCTACAACTTTCTAGGGGAAGGCAGAGATGAAAGAGGAAATTGGAAAATAGTACCCGGGTTAGAGAGGGTTAGGGCTTATCCCTATGCTTGAAGAAATAACTTCTGCGATTGAAGAAAAAATTAGAAAATTGATGAGAGTTCAGAGAAGGAAGAAAGCAGAATAATAAAGATCAATGAATGTTTAGAAAAGGAAGAAAGGAGAACAAGGCCAGTACCTGGGCGATTTTCCTCTGAAGGTGAAACTTGCAAAAGACAAAGCTTCAAACAATCAGCCTTTGTGATTGAGGCAAAGTTATATCAGTGCTTAGAAAGGGTTAGGCTTTCATTGATGGATTCAATAGAGTGAGGGCTAGGTCTCATTTGAGAATGGGAGAGAGAAGGGTCTGCACAAATAGAAATATGAAAGAGCATTAGGGCTCTAATTAGGTCAAAGTACCTATTTCAAGAGTTATAACGTGACCGGAGGCTGAGATGACGGTAAAAAACCCCAATTGTTTGCAACCGTCCAGTTATTGCCACTACACCAGAAATTAGGAAGAGAAAGGTTAGGGTTTCAGCAAAGAGGGAAAGAGGAACCGTTGAGCCTGAGTATTTGATTTCCCTTTAGCAGATCGAAGATTGTTCGTGCCATGGCAGATTGTATCTGTATCGCAGGAAACAAGTGAGGGAGAAAGAGTCGTGAGAGAGGGTTACACCGAATGGAATATGAAAGGTATTAGGGCTTGAAATTAGGCAAGTGTAGAAAAGGGCATTTTAGGCAACACATAAAATAGGAAGAAGGGTATTTTAGGCAACAGAAATATCAAACAGTATTTTTTCATGTGCCACCTCAGCTTTTGGGTCAAACCCATTTTAAAGAAACTATGGGACTTTGACTCAATCTCTTAGTAAATATGATACCCTAAGTCCATTTATGTGTAATAATCCCTATAATTTATAACGATTTCGATTATATATCCTAAAGAGTATGATAGTGTGCAGGGGTATTTTTCAGAGGATTATACATTCTTAAGAGGATTATAGAAACTAACCTTCTGAAGTTCACAATAACAGGAATGACATCAATTTAAAAAATCTTAATAACAACTTCCACTTTATCTTCAATAGATGAGAACTTATCCTGTCATTATTTACAAAAAATTGAAGTCAGTGAAGGTTTCCTGTCTCGAAACAACAGAAATTTGAGATATATCATTTTTCATATATTGGTCAAGTCAAATGCTCAAAGAATATTCTTTCAAAAGAACAAAGAGGCTCAAGAAAGATGCTGATTGCGAGTGTTAATCATCGAACACAGACAATTATGTTATGTGAAAACCATTGTAGCAGAAAGTACATAACCAATCCAATTATTTTAGTGCATAATAGGATATAGCTTATTTTAACAAATCAACCATTTAGTGGGTACATTCAATTTAAAGCCACTGTCTAGAAAGCACTAAGTTTAAAAAGTAAGGAACACATATTGGTTAGTATTTAAAGAGTATGATACGAGCACGATAAGAGTAATTCCTTGCTTTTTAAGTGACTACTCCTCAAATTTTAACTCTTGTTTTTCAATTGCAATGTAAAACATTTTATAAGTGCCAGCGATCCAACCCGTAAAATCACGCTCTCTACATTTTTCCTATTAAATTGAGTGAAAAAAAAAAGGAGTTGCAGCCGGCTCCTTTTGTGTAGTCCCCTTCTATCTAATAGTTTCTATCTTTCTTTTTAGAAAACCCAATAGCCTACAATAGCAAGATATTGACAAGATATTTAAATATTCTATACTCAAAAAACAGATAACACATTAACAAGATATATAAAGACTACCAAAAAAGAATATGGAGCTAGAGTCCCAAAAACTTTTAGGCCAATGATTAAATTGCAACGACCGTTCAAGACTCTATTTTATAAAGCCAAACTGAATATATATATAATATTACAAGCAATAGATAATAATCAAGTTTCTATTTTGTTTTCACTTATTAGATGCATGAAATGGATCAAAAAGTTAAGACAAACACTAACTTATGAAATTAGTGTTACATTTCTGCATTTCCAAATAAACCTTTTAAATTAATAGTAAAGCTATCCAAAGATCTCCAGTTGACAAGAGCCATGAATTCTCTTTATGGATAGGACTGATATAAGATTCTCAGACTGTGTTTTTACATTCACAAATTACGATATTTTTCTCAATCCAATAGCCAGTGAAGAGAGCTTATGACTCTTTTCAAGAGAGGGTGACTTCTCCTTTAAATTGATGTCTATTTCCAGCTGAAAGTAACTTTCTTTGATAAATTATCCACCACCAACAAAAGTTACTGATCATAATGTGTGAACAAAAAATGAATTCTGAAGTTTGAATGTCCATAGTGTAACATTAATGCCAGACACCCAATATGTTAATTATTATAAATATCATACTTTATCATCATATAAATAAGCCTAAATACTACAAGAAATTTCTTGAGACACCATGTATGTTCTCACCAGGACTAAAATGTTCTCATTTCATGACATCAACTGCTTTGTACTCATATTTGAGATCTATGTTGAAAGAGGCGATAACTAATGGTCAATAATTAACAAAAAAAAAAAAATTTTAACTAAAATCAAATAAAAAATCAGGGTTTTAGAAAGTGAAACCGGCAGAAGAAATTGACTGATCAAAATTTAGAGAGCGAAAGTAGTAGAGTGAGAGAGACCTTTGAAGTTGAGAGCGATACGAACACGGCAAGAGCAAGAGCTCCCCCAGGAAGAATATAGCTTCAGCTTCATTGGCTCCTCACCATTACTCGCCTATTCACAAACAACCAATAGCTTGTTAGACAGTTAAATCAATCAGTTGAGTCTATAGTGATTGATGTGATGGTGCTCTGTGCAATTGATTGATGATGAAGTAAGAAAATTTTAGTGACAATTTCTTTTAAAAAAAAAATTAAAATTAAAATAAATTGGAAACAGAGCAACTAATTCACAACGAATTTGAGAGACACCAACCATAGTGCACGATAAGAGTAATTCCTTGCTTCTTAAGTGACAACTCCTCAAATTTGAACTCTTGTTTTTCAAGTGCTATGTAAAACATTTTATAAGTGCCAGCGATCCATGATGTAAAATCACGCTCTCTACATTTTTCCTATTAAATTGAGTGAAAAAAAAAAGGAGTTGCAGCTGGCTCCTGTTGTGTAGTTTCTATATTTATTTTTAGAAAACCCAATAGCCTACAATAGGAAGAAAACCCTAATTTTAGAAAACCCAATAGCCTACAATAGGAAGAAAACCCTAATTTTAGAAAACCCAATAGCCTACAATAAGAAGAAAACACAAAAACAAGAACCATTACAACAAAAAAGCTTAAGAAACACCAAATCATCATAACTCAATCCAAATTTACAGCTGAAAAAAGAAAACAAGAAAAATTCAACTGAAATAATGAAAATGCACTGACAAATGTATGGTTTGAAGCTCACCGAGAACCCTTGATCCCTCTTCTGAGCCCATTGTAGCTGGACTGAAAATTGAGCTGGGTTTCTCAATTCCTACAGCGATAAAGCTAGAGAGAGAGGGTGGAGGGACCGGCTTAGAAAGAGTCGTGGAGAAAGAGAGAGAGAGAGAGCAGCGAATGAGAGAATTTTATTTTTAGGGCCAAAGAAGATCGTATTTACCGAACGAATTAGGGCAATATATTAAATTATGGAGAAAGGGCATTTTAGGCAACACCAAAAAAAGTGAGAAGGACATTTTTGGCAAAACATTTCTTGAACAGTAATAATTCATGTGCTACGTCAGCAATTCATTTTAGGGAAATATGAAACTTTGACTCCGCCTCTGGGTAAATACGGAGCCCTAACCCCATTTATACGTAATTATCCCTTAACAAAATGTGAATATAATAATCTAATTAGTAACTTGAGTGTGTTTTTTAAATAAATATTATTAAATATTTTTTATATTAATTTATTATATATTAAAAGGTCAATTTTATTTTTTTCCGCCTAAACCTTCAAGTTATAACATGGAAACCATACTTATACAGTAAAACGGCAGCGTTTTTTATTTTTGTTTTTATTTTTTTTTTCTGGTTCAATGAATATAGAGGGGCACGGTTAAAAGCGTTGAAATCAATGCTGATTTTTTTATTATTTTGGGAAACTTCTTAGAGGATTTTTTGTTATTACTATTTTTATTTTGAAAAACTACTTAAAATAAAAAAAATTAATTTCAAGAAAAGGTAGCACGGTTTTCAAAAAGAAAAGATAAAAAGCTGTGTCTCATTCAGTAACGTGTCAGTTTATTGTGATTAAACCATACATCAGAGCGTCGGCGGGGTGGGTCCCTGTTGCCATAAGGGCTAATTATTATTCTTAAAACTCCTCCCTCCATCCCAATTTAACTCGCAAGAATTAAATGGTTATTCATATGTAATTATGTATGGGACACAATTGAGTGAGTATGTCTGTACGATTACGTGTTCAAGTAATTTTTCATGACATAGTGAGTGGGTTTCGTGATCTCTCCTTGATTTATTACAGTCTTCTTTGTGTCCGTAGCCAAAGTTTTTTTGTACCATGTAAAATGTTAAGTGTTGCATGTCACTCTCTCCGTTTTGGAAAAAATGTTTTTAACAGAGAACTGTATTAATTCAATTTGTGAGAGTCACACTTTTTTAAAAGTGACACTTTTAATAGGACGGATGAAGTATAATGTAGCATAGATTACGGAAATTTTTTTACACTATTAGAAAAAAATTAGGGCATGTTTGGTATGTTTTTTGTTTTTAGGGAATTAATTTTTTCGAGTATTGTAACTCATAAAACGTGTTTGGTTAAAAATATTTTGTTTTGTATAATAATAAAACGTTTCGTGAATAGAAGTCAAAATATCAATTCGATACTTTTACATATTTCTGCACCGCAAAAAAATGTTTGAAATGACCTTTTTGATTTAGCTATTATATTTTTAAAATTTGCAACACTCTTTTATCAAATTTTTTTTTTTTACTTTAATTATGTTTACAACAAATAGATATTACCAACCCAATTACCATTCAAAATACCTTATAATGAAATATTTACTTTGTTTTTTTATTAAAAAAAATGCAAAAAATAACATTTTTCCTTGACTCTTTTTTTTTTTTTTTTTTTTTTATCCTTTCCTTACAAACGCGTTCATTAAGCTGTGTTTGGTATGATGGGAAAGAAAAGAAAAGAAAGGATAATATTAATTAGGGTGAACTACATTAAACCCCTTTTTTCTATTGTGTTTTTCACTAAACCCACCTTTTCTATTTTTTTGTCAAAAAACCCCCCTAGACTATTAGAGGGGGCGATTTAACTAACCTTCGTTAACTAACTATTAGAGGAGGGTGATTTAATTCTCAAATATATATATATATATAGCAAATAAATTTTAAGAAAAAAAACCTAGATTTATATTTGCAAAAAAAAAATTAGACATTATTTCTGGTAGTATCCCTTTAATAAATCTATATAAAATTGAAAATCAATAAAAACCAAATAAATGAATGCACAATATAATTCTCAAATATATATATATATAGCAAATAAATTTCAAGAAAAAAAACCTAGATTTATATTGGAAAAAAACCATTGCAACAGCATGCACTCTTATTCTTGTTCAACTTCTTTTATTTACCCATCATTATAGTATTATATATAATTTGTATCATAATATAATGGTATATATAATATATATCATTAATATTATTTAAATATATTTTCATTTCCATCTAGCCTTCGTACCAATATAAATCTAGGTTTTTTTTTTTTTTTTTTTTAGGAAAAAATCTAGGTTTTTGTTTTTTTTTTTCTTCATTTCCATCTAGCCTTCATATATAGAGGCTTCATATATATATATATATATATAGCCTTCATATCTAGCCTTCATATATATATCTAGGTTTTTTTTTTTATTCATATATATATAGCATTCATATCTAGCCTTCATATATATATATAGCCTTCATATCTAGCCTTCATATATATATATATATCTAGGTTTTTTTTTTTCTTCATATATATATAGCCTTCATATCTAGCCTTCATGTACATATCTAGGTTTTTTTTTTCTTCATATATATATAGCCTTCATATCTAGCCTTCATATATGTAGCCATTATTTTTTTATTTAGGAAAAAAATCTAGGTTTTTTTTTTTTTTTTTCTTGAAATTTATTTACTATATATATATATATATTTGAGAATTATATTGTGCATTCATTTATTTGGTTTTATTGATTTTCATTTTATATAGATTTATTAAAGGGACACTACTAGAAATAATGCCTAATTCATACCAATATAATTCCCAAATATATATATAGCAAATAAATTTCAAGAAAAAAAAAAAAAAAACCCTAGATTGTTTTCCTAAATAAAAAAATAAAAATAAAAACCTAGATTTATATTGGTATGAAGGCTAGATGGAAATAAAAATATATTTAAATAATATTTAATGATCCATATTATATATACCATTATATTATGATACAAATTATATATAATATTATAATGATGGGTAGATAAAAGAAATTGAACAAGAAGAAGAGTACATGTTGTTGCAATGTTTTTTTTTTTTCCAATATAAATCTAGGTTTTTTTTTTCTTGAAATTTATTTGCTATATATATATTTGAGAATTATATTGTGCATTCATTTATTTAGTTTTTATTGATTTTCATTTTATATAGATTTATTAAATGGATACTACCAGAAATAATGCATTTTTTTTTTTTTTTTTTTTGCCAATATAAATCTAGGTTTTTTTTCTTGAAATTTATTTGCTAGATATATATATATTTGAAAATTAAATCATCCCCGTCTAATAATTAGTTAACGGAAGTTAGTTAAATCACCCCCTCTAATAGTCGAGGGGGGTTTAATGTAGTTCACCCTATTAATTATGAATGAAAAGAAAGGAAAGGAAATGACAGGATAATTTTAATCCCCTATCGTGTTTGGTTAATTAATGAAGAAAATAAAAGGAATGGATAATAATCATGTTTGAAAAAAAAAAAAAAAAAAAAAAAAAAAAAAAAAAAATTATTTTAATAAATTTACTATTATATAAAAGATAAATATATATTTGAGAATTAAATCACCCCCCTATAATAATTAGTTAACGGAAGTTAGTTAAATCACCCCTTCTATAGTTGGGGGGGGGGGGTGTTTAATATAGTTCACCCTATTAATTATGAATGAAAAGAAAGGAAAGAGAATGACAGGATAATTTTAATCTCCTATCGTGTTTGGTTAATTAATGAAGAAAAAAAAAAGGAATGAATAATAATCATATTTGAGAAAAAAAAAAATTTATTTTAATAAATTTACTATTATATAAAAGATAAATCTATTTGTCAGCAGATAAATCAATTTTTCAGCCTCCCAGTTGCCTATATTTAGGGCAAATCATTTCAGCCTCCCAATTGCCTATATTTAGGGCAAAGCATTTCAGCCTCCCTAATCACCTCCATCTCTATTCTCATTCTCAACTCTCTCTTTCTCTCTCTGCAACTGCAAACCACAAGATCTACATGAATCAGAAGTTCAAAACCCATATATTTCAGTTGATCTATCTGTCCACAAGAATCAAAAGTTCAAAACCTATTACCTATATCAAAACATATATCGGCGTATCATTTCAGGTTGTTCAAAAAGTCAAAACCCATATCTTTCAGTTTCCAACGCTCGTTGTTCCAGTTCGGGTTCGACGTTCGCAAGCTTCAGCCGCTGTCTCTCAACTCTCAAGTTTGGCCCCCTCTCTCTCTGCAACGCTAACTTGTAGGTATGGTTTTTTTTTTTTTTTTTTTTTTTTTAAATCAAATAAAAAAGGTCTATAATTCTTGTTTTGCAAACTAAATCCTATTTGGTGAAATTTTTTATGATTTTTTATTTTAATATAAAGTAACAAAATTTGCATTGCATTTTGAGGTAATCACCGTAATCTGTTATTTATTTATTTATTATTATTATTTTTTTGATGTTGTCAATTATGTCTACAAGAAAATTTGAATCTGGGCATGAAAAAAAAAAAAAAAAAATCTGAATTAGATTAGAAATCTGCAGAGATTGAATCTGAAACAATATCTATCAACATGCCAAGTTTTTTGAAGCTGGAAATCTTTTCAGAACTAAAAGAAAAAAAAAAATCATAACAAGCACTTTGACAAGCAAAAGTACTTAATATAGGGTAAAGCTCTAAAGTTACTTCTTGAAAATTAAAATACTTACAAAAACCATGCTTTTGAGTGAATTCCATAGTGTTGGAAGGGGCTTGCCATGAACTACCTCACACTCTGCTTCCACTAGTAGATTCTCAAATAGGATTAGTAAATTGGTCAAAAGAAGAGATAGGGTACTGAATGGTGAATTGTTCAGAAAGAAATTGGTAATTTTTTATTTATTTATTAATTACCCAAATAGGATTTTCTATATGCCTTAATCAGTTAATTGTCTAAAGAAACATTGTTAGTTAACTAAAAGCATAGTTGGATTGGGTTGATATATGATACAAATAGTACTTTGATACAAATAGTACTTTGATGGTGGTGTTCTAATTGTTATGAGTAAGATTGTGAAACCTCTTCCTCACAACTTGAATGTGTTCTTATTTTTAGGTTAGCATCGGGCCTTAACATTTAGCAAGAACAATGTTCAAGAAATATGCCTCCTCGGTCATCAGGTAACAAACTCTTACTTTTTCTAAAATTTTAATTGGCATTTTTAGCTATTGGTTATGTTTATTTATTTATGTTTTACATATTGATTTTTTGTTTTTGTTTCTACATACATATATATATATATATATATATATATATATATATATATATATAATATTGTTATGATGTGGTGCTCGAACAATTTATTAATGGGATTTAATGACTTTGAAGTTTAGTTTTCAATTTCAGAATATATGTTTTACAAGTTTAGTAACACCTTTAAAACTTTTCTTCTTTTGTCCTAATGATATAGGTCCATTTTCTGAAAGAAGAGAGTTGATGGGAATGGGTGGTTTGGGCAAAAAGATAATAGGTATGTTTTTTTTGCCTAGCTAATTGAATTATTTAAATCCCCTTACCAAAATAATGATCTTGAAGCACATATTGATGATATTCTTGCGCGACAAAATGCGAAACTCCATGAAGAGATTGTCCTTCATAATGAGGGACGTCTCCGGGCAAACATTGAGGTTCTGAAGCAAATTCCGTGGAATTTCAATTCCATCCGGAATATAAAATGTGTAGTAGTATAGGTAAAACTTGAAACACCTTATTGTCTATTTTTGAAGGAAAGACAGTATTATGTTTAAATCGGTAGATACAAAACAGTTTGAATCTCTTTTCCAGGTTCAAATGTTGGGTTGGTGCAGATATGATATTATTAAAACGCCTTAGTTGTCTATTTTTTTAAGAAAAATCAAAATTGAAAAGAAGAGAATGCAATCTAGAGATATAATATAGATTGTAGATGCTTGGTATTTTTTGTTTCATCTGTGCAGGATCATGCTTGCTCAAAATCACACACACATACTGACTAGAATCCTCTATAGTAGAAGTTGCTTTCAAAATATTTTAATACAAACCATTTGCTCTGTTATTATTCTTTGTGTTTATTTATGATAATAACACGTTAAATATTTCCTAAAATGCTAGGTGAGAGTTTAAGAGTCCAAAGGAGCAAATGAGTACCCTCCATTAAAATTATTGAGATACCCATGTTGTGTCGGTACCAATGCTTTAAGGGGAATATGAGAATCTTGGTAACACAACTGGTTACATTTGATCTTCTGTTTGTAATATCCCAATCTTCTAAACAGTAATGACTTTCAAATTTAGCTTATGAATGCCATTTAAAACATTATTCTTAAGTAGAATTGGCAGTTCCATACTTGTTACTGGCAGCTTATGTGTTCATAATAGGATCCATAGTTTTGCTCAGGAATTTATAATTAGTTGTTTTTGGGCCTTCCCAAACCTAACTCTGGTCAAAGGTTTGGCCTGGGCAAGGATGCAGAATTAAAGACTATTCAATATGATTAGTATCTAAAATTATTTCTAATCTACTTGAATATTTTTAATATTATTTTTTGTTGTTCCAGTAATTTAATTTTTTATTGGCTGTTTAGGTTTAAACTGGTTTTGGTTATGTTAACATAATATATTGATAAAGAGTTGGTTATAGGTAATGTTAAAATGCTTCGTTAATTTCAGATCAAGTTTGTGATGACCCAACATGAATTGGACTTGAGTTGAACTTGCTTGAACATAGGGCTACAATTTGGGCGGGCTAACCCAGCCCAACCCAAGCCCAACCCGAAATTTTGAAATTTGGATTTTAAGTTCACAAATTGGGCTCATGTTCGGGTTGGGTTTTGTCAAAACCCAGACATATTCGGGTTGGGCTCGGGCATAACCCAAACCCAACCCAAAACCCAAAATACATTTTTTTTTCTCCTCTCTCTCCTCTCTTCTTTCTCTTTCTCTCTCTATCGCCGTCCCAAAGTGGCTTGAACACTCAAATACAAATGCCAAGTCTAATTAGAGAGAACCTGTCTCTTTCCTTTTTTCAAGGGGAATCATCTCATGGGAAAATCTTTCACAAAAGCAGCACACCCATCGGAATGAGGAGATTCTTTTTCATATGGGAAAACAAGATTCAGGCAGATGATCCGGTCTGGGGAAAAAAAATTATAACAAAACCCATACATACAAGTTAGCAGTTGCATAGAGAGAGGGGGGGCAAGCTTAAGAGTTGAGAGACAGCTGCTGAAGCTTGCCAACAGCGAACCCGAACTTAAACAGCGGACCATGGAAACTGAAAGATCTGGGTTTTGATTTTTTGGGCTGGCCCAACCCAACCTGATTCGGGTTGAGGCTGGATTGGGACTGGGCTAGGTTGGGCCAGCCCAACTTGCAACCCTACTTGAACATCACATATTGCTTGGATTCTTGCATAAAAAGTAATCTTTTTTATTGTTTAATGTTACACAAGAAATTCTTAATTAGTGATTTCATGAGCACATTCAAAGAGGAAAAATGGAAGTTCTGATACAAAATTACGTTGTGCAATGTGCATTAGTGGGTGAATATATGCTTATGTGTTTATTCACGAGGAAATGTCTATTCATAGTTCTTTTTTAATGTAGATTTCTAAGTTTCACTTTATTTCCTTGAGTTGTATTATATCACTTGAAAGTCAAATATGGGATGTGATATTTTTATTTTATTTTATTTATTTATATATATATTTTGTTGGGGGTGTTACATGAAAAATACCTACTGTGTTGAATGATGCTTGTAACCAGACAAGGCAAAGAATGTTGGTCCAGATTGTGTGATGTTGAATGAAGTGTTGTAACCTAAGTTAAAGGTTTTTGGTTTATATATATTGGAGATAAGAATATTATTGTTTAATTATTTACATGTGTGTTTTTAAAAGTGTATATATAAACTTATTATGTTCATATTGTTTTTTGTGTTTATTCATGCCGATATGGAATATTTTGTTCATAGGTGTGTTTCGTGTGTGCACAACAAAACAGCTTGCACTAATATGTGCGTAATACTTTATGCAGGTAAAGAATGTATGGAGAAGCACATTTTAAGACAATGGTGACTTCGACCCCCGATGTTCACTCCACGGATACATCAGCAGATAGAGGGACTCCAAGTAGACAATGATCATCTTCAAGGACTAAATTATAATTTGGAAGCACACAATGCAAATCTCCAAACAGAAAGAGCACAACCGTTTCCGGGAAAGCATCCACGCGCTGAAGCAAATTCTGACTAACCACGGCATACCAAGCAGACAATGATCATCTGAATTTCCACCCGATATATGAAAAGTTTAGGTAACCTAGCTAAAACTTCAAACTCCTTATTGTCATTTTTTTTTTTTTTTTTTTTTTTTTTTTTTTTTTGAGGAAAAACAATATTATGTGTTTAAATCGGTAGAGATAACAGTTTGAATTGCCTTAATTGTCTTTTTTTATTTTTTGAAGGAAAATCAAAATTGAAAAGATGAGAATGCAATCTGTGTTTAAATTTATATAGAGATATATGCAATACCATATTAGGGAGCATAGCCTTTATAAGGGTCCTAATTGATCGTAATCATGTTCCTTTACAAAAAGTTCTTGCTATTGATCAACAAATTGATGTACTGCATCAACAAATAGAGGGACTCCAAGCAGACAATGATCATCTTGAATGACTAAATTATAATTTGGGAGCACACAATGCAAATCTCCAAGCCCAAAGAGCACAATTCCATCACAGAGAGGCTCGTCTCCGGGAAAGTATCCAGGCGCTAAAGCAAATTCTGATTAACCACGGCATTGAATTTCCACCCGATATATGGAGGGGCACGTCTCCGGGAAAGCATCCAGGCACTGAAGCAAATTCTGACTAACCTCGGCATTGAATTTCCACCCAATATATGAAAAGTGTAGGTAACTTAGGTAAAACTTCAAACTTCTTATTGTCTTTTTTTTTTAAGGAAAAACAATATTTATGTGTTTAAATCGGTAGATACAAAACAGTGTCTTTTTTTTTTTTTGAAGGAAAATCAAAATTGAAAAGATGAGAATGCAATCTGTGTTTAAATATATATTGAGATATAATATAGATTGGAGATGCTTGTCATTTTTTGTTTCATCTGTGCAGGATCATGCCCGCTCAATCACACACATACTGACTAGAATCCTCTCTAGTAGAAGTTGCTTGCAAAATATTTCAGTGCAAACCATTTGCTCTGTTAGTGTTCTTTGTGTTTATTTATGATAATAACCTCCCTCCATTATAAGGTTCCAAACATGGTGACCTTTTTAGTTACTGCATCAGTTGCTCGATATTGATCTCCAAAAGCATGCCTTCCTTCCAATGCATATAGGGTTTGTCCATCCTGACATGTCAACAATAGCAATTAGAAAAATGCTCTTGGCTCATAAAGTAGCATCAAGAAACAATAAATTCCTGGGATTAACCGGGGACGTTTTTGCAAAGAAAGGGGAAAATTAGCTTGTGATAAATCATGAGTTACACAAATGAACCGGAAAGCATATTAGTGTTCAGAAATGAACCGGAAAGCATATTATTACCTGTTTTATTGATTTTCAGAAGATTCGAGTCATTTCGTCTTCTGCATCATAAATTAAGAATGGTAAGAAAGAGAGTGAATTTTTATTTCATAGAAAAATCATCAGTGGAAATTGAGTAGTTCAATTTCAATAAATACATCAAATCTCATTCAATGACTAAATTTACGGCATAAAATTCAAAAAGTTCCGGTGCTTCTCTGCAGTTCCGTTGAACTTTTTTGGCATTTTAAGCTCTCAACCAATCAATTGATTCAATTTCAGAAAAATTATGCATTTTTGCAGCTCCCTGCTTTTACCACTGTCAAAGCTGATAAAAAAGAATTCAGTAGGTCTCTTTATTTCTCTTCAACCAATACCGAGTCTATACCAATGTGTTCATCTCCATTAAAGAATACAACACCACATGGTTTTTCATCCAACCAACCGTCTAAATATCACCAATTAACACACAAATGCAATGTGTTCATCTCCATTAAAGAATACAACACCACATGGTTATTCATCCAACCGTCTAAATATCACCAATTAACACACAAATGTTTAGACGAATGTAGGGTTGGCTCAAGTCTACTCAAAATTTATTTTTTTATTTTTTATTATACTAATTCTAGCCCAACCTAAAAAATAATTATTATTATAATTAATCCACCCAACCAAACCTAAGTCAATCAAAGCCAAATAAATCCAGAACCGACTAGGCAACAAAGACAGTCGCCTAAGGCCTCAAAATTTATGGGGCCATACTAAATTTTTTCTCAATTCCTTTTTTTTTTTTTTTAAGGTTATGGGCTTTACTTGAAACGTGATGCAGCTTAAATATTTTGACATTTTCAAAAGTTGATAATTATCTAGTATCTTCTGTGCCATTCAGTCTTCAAAATTTCATTGATCTATGTTGTGCATCGTCGTCGATCGTGACTGCTCAAGCTCAGCTCTTAGATCACGGGAGTCCATATGATCTAGGTCATAGTACCAAAAAAAAAAATCAACATATATGCATGAGATACACTTTCTGTGCGATTCTGTGGTTGAGACACTCTTGTGTCAAGAGTTGAGATGGGTCAATGCCTCTGACAGCTTTATATAAAGCTGATGGTAATGGTAAAGCTCGTTGATACTTCATGGTGGATGGTGGAGACACTTGACTTGACAGCTCAGTTTTTTAGTGAATTTTTAATTTTTATTGCTTTTGGCCAATTTAAAGTGGTCAATGGTATATAAAGCTGATAGCAATGGGGAAAGCTGGTACAACTCAATTTTTTTAATTATTTAAAAAGAAAAATCAAATTATAAAAGCCGCTCTATATGTTTTTTCTTTTTAATTGCTTTTGGCCAATCAGGAGTAACATGGCAAATTTGGATGTTGAATCAATATTTGGGGAGTATATATATGGGGAGATTGCCTTAAAATAAATTGATTAATTCATAATATACGAGGAATGCTAAATATATATATTTCTTTTGCCTTTCAAATTGGTACTTTATGTATTATTGTTGATTAATTTAGTAAACAATGTATTTAAAAGTACGTTTAAAAATTATTATAAATAGACCATAAATTACATTTACAACTTACTAAAATTTTATTTTTAATTCGATTATATTATTCTCTTATAGTATATGTATTGACCTCAAAACACACAAATTATTTAAGCTAAGAGTGTGGTTCGAAAGTAAAACATTATAAACTGAAAATTTTGATTATATTGTTCAAAAGTGTGTATTATTGCATTTTTAATCATGTGTGCAAGATTGAAAAAAAATTAGGAATATAATAACTGATGCTTTCGTGGATACATTTCGGATACATTCCGATACTGTTAACATTTTGATTTTTAATAAATTTGATTTTTAATAAATTTGATTTTTAGAGTAGCATGAGTCACTAATTTTCACATTTTTCCTCTCTTTTACATCAGCTTTTTTCCTCTCTTTTATCTCGTGACTCTACTATGCAAATATCAACAACTTTATGTATCTTTCAAAAGTGATATATCATTATCTCTCTAGCATTAAATTTGATTTTAAGAAATCTGAAGAGAGCAGGTGGGGTATTTTTTACTATACAAATTTTAGGTCAGGCAAAAAAAATAAAAAATAAAAATAAAAATATTAAAAGAATTAGCCCACTTAATCAAGCCCAAGTCAAGTCAACCATCATATTAAAATAATATGATATACTCGGGCCGATCCTAACCCAAGGCAACAAATGGCCTCCTTGTAAATATTCTCCTTTTTGATATATATATCAGCAGCTTGAAAATTCAAAAAAAAAAAAAAAAAAAAAAAAAAAACCAAGGCAGTCGCCTAGGGCCTCAAAATTTACAACCTATGAATGATACGTAGCTAGAGAAGAGAGGATAAGGTACTGTCAAGGACAACAATCCAACCATTATAATATTATTCTTTACGTAGCAATCTATTGTAATTTATTGTTAAATAAAGAGCATTTTAAAGAAATAACAAATCATACTCAATCATGATTTTAACTTTGCAAAAATACCATAATGGCATATAAACATAGTAACATTTTGGACCAATAAAAATTGAACATCGAAGCCTTACGATCTGACTCATAATCCCAGAGTCAATCCTAACTGTCTACACCATTTAAGAAAACACAACCAAACAGATTTTCAACCGTTCAATTCTATTCTTTAAAAGCACACGGATAACCATTTTGAACCATCCGATTCACTTTTACTCCCCCACTATTTTTAGGGCAAATCATTTCAGCCTCCCCAATCGCCTCCATCTCTATACTCATATATTTCAGTTTAATTCTCAACTCTGAACTTGCCCCCTCTCTCTCTGCAACTGCAAACTACAAAATCTACAAGAATCAGAAATTCAAAACCCATATATTTTAGTTTATCTATCTGTCTGCAAGAATTAAAACCTATATCAAAACCCATATCGCCGTTCACAGGCTTCAACCGCTCTCTCTACCCTCAAGCTTGCCCTCCTCTCTCTCTGCAACTGCTAACTTGTACGCATGGGTTTTGTTATTTTTTTTTTTTTAATTTCTATAAATTCTATTTCTAGTTTTTTTTTTTTTTTTTTTTGTCGTTGTTAAGATTTTTTTTTTTTTTTTTTAAATCTTTTTAGAACTAAAAAAAATAATCTTAACAAGAACTTTGACAAGCAAAAGTACACTTAATATAGGGTAAAGCTCTAAAGTTACTTCTTGAAATTTAATATACTTACAAAAAGCATGCTTTTGAGTGAATTCTAGTGTAGTCAATTGTCTAAAGAAACATTGTTAGTTAACTAAAATTCAATTATGTCTAGAAGAAAATTTGAATCTGGGCATGAACAAAAAAAAAAAAAAAAAAAACAAGAAGAATCTGAATTGGATTAGAACTCTTCAGAGATTGAACCTGAAACAATTTTCATCAACATGCCAAGCTGGAAATCTTTTCAGAACTAAAAAAAAAAATCATAACAAGAACTTTGACAAGCAAAAGTACTTAATATAGGGTAAAGTTCTAAAGTTACTTCTTGAAAATTAAAATACTTACAAAAAGCATGCTTTTGAGTGAATTCCATAGTGTTGCCTCACACTCTGCTTCCACTAGTAGATTCTCAAATAGGATTAGTAAATCGGTCAAAAGAAGAGATAGGGTACTGAATGGTGAATTGTTCAGTAACAATTTGGTATTTTTTTTTTATTAATTACCCAAATAGGATTTTCTATATGCCTTAATCAGTCAATTATCTAAAGAAACATTGTTACTTAACAAAAATTGAATTAAACAACAGTTGATTTTGGTTGATATATTTTGATTTAGCCCACCCCCCATTGAGAAATCCTGGATATTTTGTTTTACATAGAAATACAATCTGTGCAATGCACGAAGGATATATTCAATCTTTCTGCCATATTTTTATTTTTAAATTTTGGTTTTTGATTTTCTTTCGTTATTAGAATGCAGAATATCAGGATATTGATTTGTTAATTTTGAAAATTATTCCTAAATTGATGCACTGTACTTTGTTATTGGATGAATTTAACATAAGGGCTGAGTATAATATGTGTTAATCACACATATCCGTAATCACACCTCTCTCTACGAATAGGCGTCCAACATTTTGACTGAAAGCATAATTGGGTTGGGTTGATACATGATACTTATAGTACTTAGATGGTGGTGTTTTAATGGTTATGAATGAGATTGCGAAACCTCTTCCTCACAATTTGAGCGTTTTCTTATTTTTAGGGTTAGCATCGGGCCTTAACATTTAGCAAAAACAAGGTTCAAGAAACATGTCTCCTCAGTCATCAGGTAACAAACTCTTGTTTTTTCTAAAATTTAATTGGCATTTTTTAGCTATTGGTTACGTTTATTTATTTATGTTTTATTTACTGATTTTTTGTTTTTGTTTCCACATACATATATATAATATTGTTATGATGTAATGCTCGAACAATTTATTAATGAGAATTAAAGATTTTGAAGTTTAGTTTTCAATTTCAGAATATATGTTTTACAAGTTTACTAACGCTTTTAAAATTTTTCCTCTTTTGTCCTAATAATATAGGTC